CCAAATAAAATCATTCGTCCGTCTTTACCTCTCCCAAATAATCTTCGCTCAAAATCCAGTGTTGACTTTGACTTTGACTTTGACTTTGACTTCAACATGCCCTTGTCATGCCAGTCAAAAGCTGTTGTCCATAGGCTACGTACATCTCATAAGCTTGGTTCTTATAAAATCCATGGAAAACAAGCAGAAAAAAAAGTTCCAATCCTTCTACTCCCTCAAAATAAACCTTTACTACCCAATTCAAACAATAACCTTGACACCCAAACCCCGAAATCCCTAGTCAACAAGATGTGAAAAAAGTCAACTTTCTTTCCGAAGGGCGAATGGCGTTTGTTGTAATTTTCATTCTGATTATTGCCATTGGTGGTCTTATGTATCGCCATCATACCATAATGGCTGCAATGTTGAAACAAAAACCTTCCTCTTCTTCTAGAAGGAAGAGGCATAGGAAACAAGGAAGGATTTATGCCAATGAAGATGGAAATGTTGATAGTGAAAGAAATCCAGTGCTAAATTTTAATCATTTAATCGAATGTGACACAGAAGGGCGTTCTATAGGCAAACTATTTGTGTCAAATAAAGAAATTGCAAAGGTAGTAATGGAACAGTTGTTCTTGAAGGGGTATACGAAGGTCGTAAGGTTGCTGTGAAACGCCTCGTGAGGGCCCACCATGATGTTGCATTTAAAGAAATTCAAAATCTTATTGCTTCTGATCAACATCCAAATATTGTTAGGTGGTATGGAGTGGAATATGATCATGATTTTGTTTATCTTCTTTGGAGCGTTGTGCTTGTAGCCTTTATGATTTAATTCAAATGAAGAAAGGGGGTTTAGAATTAGATTCAATCAATCGTGACATCATCATGCATGATGTTCATTTATGGAAACCAAATGGATACCCTTCGCCTATTTTGTTAAATTGATGAGGTACATGTACATCCAACCATTTATAACAACAACATTGTACTTTATTTACATGTGTTACTTTATTTATATCTTTACTTTGATGTTTATTATTATTATAGGGATATAGTATCTGGGCTTGTTCATTTGCATGAATTAGGGATCATTCATCGGGATTTAAAGCCACACAATGTGTTAATAGTCAAAGAAAAATCAATATGTGGGAAGCTTTCTGACATGGGAATTAGCAGACGCCTCGTTGGCGACATGTTGTCATTAGGACTCCATGCTACTGGTAAGAAGATAAAACCAACTTAATTACAAAAACCGGGCTGTTTTTGACACGTTGTAAATTGTTACGGGTTATTTTCGTCAGGTTCCGGAAGTTCAGGGTGGCAAGCACCCGAACAACTTCTTCATGGACGCCAAACACGTGCGATAGATTTGTTCAGTTTAGGTTGTGTCCTGTTTTTCTGCATGACATGTGGCAGACACCCATTTGGTGATCATCTTGAACGTGATGTGAATGTGGTCAAAAACCGAGTCAACCTTTTTTTAGTTCGACATATTCCGGAAGCTTTTGACCTCTTCTCTAGATTACTAAACCCTAACCCTGAACTCAGGTAAAGTTATAAAATTACAATTTCAGTCCTCTGACGTTTTAAATTAATAAAGAATTTGCATTGTAGGCCAAGGGCTGTGGATGTGTTGCATCATCCTTTGTTTTGGGATTCCGAGGTGAGAATGTCGTTTCTAAGGGATACTAGTGATCGGGTGGAATTGGAAGACCGGGAATGTGATTCCGTTCTTCTTAGGGAATTGGAAAGTAAAGGTTCGGTGGCTTTGGGTGGAAAATGGGATGAAAAGATGGAACCGGAATTCATCAATAACATTGGTCGGTATAGGCGGTATAAATACAACGGTGTGCGTGACTTGCTTCGCGTCATTCGAAATAAATTAAATCATTACCGCGAATTACCCAAAGAAATTCAGGTTCGATTTTCTCAACATACAGAACGTTATCACTTTTTTTTTATTGACAGGACAGGTTGTACTGTGTTAATGATTGTTTTGATGATTATTGGACACAGGAATTGTTGGGAGGTGTACCGGAGGGGTTTAATGATTATTTTGGGAGTCGGTTCCCGAAGCTGTTGATGGAGGTGTACAATGTCATGTACCATTATTGTAAGGATGAAGAATGGTTCTATAAGTACTTGGAGCATTAATTATGTATTGTGTTTGTGGCAACTCTTTTAAGTTGTTTATATTTATGTATAAATCTATTTCATAGTGGTTGTTTATGTAAATATGATATATGTAATATATAGTAATGTATGATATACATCAATATTAATATATATGAATCTTTATTGTATGGAAATGCTCTTTTTCTTTCAATATTTTACAATATTAGTTGTTTAATTTCTTAATAATACCATATGACCTGATGTTATCAAATACAATGTTTTCACAGAAAAAGTATGTTTATCATTTTGAAATATCTTGATCTAAAAAACTATAACAAAGATGAAATTGTTTAAGGGAATATGTGGATGTATATTTTTGTAATTGTTATTTCATCGTAGTAATAATCAATTTTAATTATTTGGTTGACTATATTTTACTTATTTTCGGATCAAATTTTCAATTTTATAACTGTAACGAAATTATCCATATATTAGTATTTTATTTACGAGTTCTCTTAACCTGCTAGTTTTGAGAGACTTCTTTAACTTGCACTTCACACCTTTAAAATTATTTTCCCAAAAGTATTTTTTTTAATCAATTTATACATCAGTATTTTATTTATAAGAATTTTTTAAATAATCAAACGCTATCCCCTATAGGCCTATATCATATTTGATTACAACTAGTTATTTATTTTTATTTTTTCCATATCAAATAACTATATTATCGTGAATAAGTATTAAATTTTAATTATTCGACATAAAATCATTTTAGCCCGAATGTGCATAATACCAATCCAAATTCCAATGGACCTAAAGAAGAAGAAGAAGAAGAAAAAAACCCCGATTAAACACTTATGGAGGCGCTCGGCCCAAACTACCAAAAGCCGAAAATAGAACTCAGTCGACAGTCGACACTCCTCGATACGGCGGCGATCTTCGTCTTCGCTCAAGCAAATCTCCTTCTCCATTGTTGATCATTTCAAGGTATTATTCAAGCTATCTCTCTCTATACAAGAATTGGCAAAAGATCTGTATACACTCTAATTGTCTGAATAATTTTATTTATTCTTCCACCTGGAACCATATGTTTAGATGCAAATCCCTAATTCAATCGCTATGCTATTAAAGGCAAAATTGCAAAAATGGTCCCTGTGTTTGGCAAAATTATGCGACTTTGGTCCAAAACGATACTTTGATGCACCACTGGTCCAAAATTGGATTTTTCCATTGTTTTTGGTCCCTCCCACTAACTTCCGTCCATATACTCCGTTACATGCAACAAAGACGGGGGTATTTTCGTCTTTCCACTTACAGGGACTTTTTTTGCAACCTTATTCAAAATAAAAGCAGAGCTACATCACTCTTCCATCTTCAACTTCACGAGCTTCATAGTCTTCCTACTCTGTGTTCACAATTTCTTAGAGATCAAAAATTAAAATGGTGATGTGTTTTTGTGGTAGGGAAGCGGTCGTTCGCACCTCCTGGACATCAGCAAACCCTGGTCGGAGGTTTCTTTCCTGCCCTCAAAAGGTAAGTGTTCGATTTTGCTATTTTACCCTCATTTTGGAAAATCACCCTCATGTTTAGGGTTTATTTTTTTACGTGAAGGGTTCCAGATGCCGATTCTTAGGATGGATTGATCCTCCCATGTGTGCAAGATCTATGTTGATAATACCCGGATTATTGAGGAATATCAACAATGTAAACTATCAAGTGGCAAGATTGAAGATGTGTTTGTTTGCAAGTTGGTTACTATTTGTGGTGGTTTGGGTACTTTTCATTTAGTAATAAGCAATTAGGGACCCCTGTAGTTGCATGTAATTTTGGGGGTTTTTGTTCTTATGAAATTGTAACAAGGGAATGTGGTAGTTTTTGGTATTTGATAATGTAATATCAGTTTAGGGTTATTTTGGACAACTTCAGAATTTTGTACCCTTTTCAAGGATATAATGACAATGTATTGCAGTTATCACCTAATGTTAATGTTTATTTGTTGTTTCAGAAAAAAGTTGTAATAACCATAAATGTGTTCCATAAACATGACAACCAACAGTTGGTATAAACCATAAACATCATTCTTCAACAATGACAAAAGGTTGACATTAGTTTGATGACCAAAAGGGCTAAAAGACCAAAATAAAACCATTACAACAAACTAGTTTTAAACCATTACATCCAAATGCACAAAAGTTGTGCTAAACCAAAAGATAAGTTTTTAAACAAAATACACTAATTCCTGCATTGACTGCTACCTCCATTCCCTCCTTGACTGCATCATGTATTCCCTCCTTGACTGCTTCCTGCATTCCCTCCTTCATTGCTTCCTGCATTCCCACCTTGACCCTTGCACGTCCTTGAGTTATGACCCCTATTGTTGCATTTCCCACACCTGACACTAACAAACTTTCTGGTAAGTTTTTCAGGTTCACCTGCACCATGATTTTGCATCTGTTTATCATATTTTTCATCTGCACTTCTCTTTCTCTTGGTCTTAGGTCTTCCAGGTTGATTGTGATGTGGTGGTGGTGTTAATTGAAATGGACATGTACTTTTTGGCCACATGGCTCTACCCTTTATAGGGTCCACAGTGTAAGAGTAAGCTTCATTCCATGTTTGAAGCCAATACACTTTGTTGACATAAGTGTAAAGCTCCCCAACATTGTCTCCACTATCAGCCATTTCATGTATTGTAGCTATGGCATGCCTGCATGGAATCCCATTCAATTCCCACCTTCTACATGTACATGACATATTTGTCATGTCAACCACATGCTGGTCATGCCAAGGACCATAAACTTCATACTTTGCAGTCCCATTCCATCTAGCTCTATATTGGACTGAAGCTTCCCTATTTCTCTCAAGTAACTTTGATGCTGTTGGAGTGAGTGGACCTGGAGCTTTGGACATCACTTTCTTCACATTGCAGATCCTCTTCATTAGGTACTGCCTGATGTACTCAAGACAACTTATGATGGGCTTATTCCTACCATGAATAAGCTTACTGTTGAAAACTTCACATAAATTGTTGAGCAATATATCTGATCCTGCTCTGCCTGTATTAAACAAGAAAATTATATGAACTAAATCATACACAAAGAGGAATAGTAAAGCTTCACCTAAGCTAGGGAATATAACCTGAAAAGTGGCTTCTGGCCCAATGGTGAGGGGGGATTTTCTTCAACCACTCAAAAGCATCCTTATCAAACTTGTTAAGTTCATTCATGTAGTGTTCAAATTCTGGTACTGTGGTTGCTATTGCACACTGCCATAAGTGATCTTTATACTCTTTTGTTTTCCATTTTTTCCTCATGTTCTCATAAATATGTCTTAGACAGAATCGATGCTCAGCCTGTGGGTATAGTTGTGCAATAGCAGGTAAGAGTCCCTGTATAGAATTTGAGTGCAACTCTAAGTCATCTCCCAAGCATTCTACATAATCATTGCAACAATCATATACAAATAAACTAGTAGTAATACAAAAAGAAGAAAATAGTACCTTTTGTCTATCACTCATGAAAGTAAAGTTAGAATTTGAGTGCAACTCTAAGTCATCTCCCAAGCATTCTAGAAACCATTTCCAGCTACTCATATTTTCAGTCTCAACAATGGCATATGCAAGTGGGTATATGCCGTTGTTTGAATCCAATCCAACTGCTGTGAGTACTTGGCCTGGAAAGGGTCCTTTCATTAAAGCACCATCTAGTCCCAGAATATCTCTTAAGCCTGCTTTAAACCCTTTCTTTAATGCCCCTAAGCAAATATACACCCTTTTAAACTGCCTTGTTTCTCTAGTACTGTTAGGCTCATTAACAACCTCAAGCTTCACAGTTGTACCCACATTAGTTGCTTGTAGTTCCATAAGATAATCTCTTAACACCTCGTATTGCTTTGTGTAGTCACCACTCACTTGCTTTGTAGCTGTTGCTTTTGCTCTCTGTACTTTGTGTATGGACACACCAACTTGTAGCCTCTTCTGAACTTACTCTTGAATGCTTCGAAGGGGTACTGTAGGGTTAGACTCAACCATGTCTAAGATTTCTGCAGATATATACTTCGCAGTGCAAGCCCTAAGTTTTATAGTTTGAACACAAGTATGTTTGTCCAGTAAAGTTTTCACATACCAATAATCGCTATCTTTTGACCGTGAAGTCTGCATTGACCAAGAACAATTAAATTTATTGCCCTTACCTACCCCACTTGCATTTACATTAGGTACATTACCTTTACACACAACCCTAAGCCTTGTTTTGTCGTTTTTCTTGAAGCCAAGATTCCTTCTAGTCTCAATGGCAAGTTTGTTGACTTTGTCCTTAATTTCCTTTTTACTTTTATACTTTTGACCCACTTGAAAAGTAACTGCATGGACTTCACCAAGAGAGCACTTCTTCTCCTTCACCATCTGTTTTAATATTGCTTTCCTTCTTTCATCATCACTATCTTCACCTAATGAGTCCCATTCATCATTATCAATTACTTCAACATCTTCAACATCTTCTGTATCAACAACTTCATTTTCAGTCTCAACACCTTTTCCTCTGTGGAACATATTCAACATCTAGATCAACATTCATATAGAAATCACTCATGTCCACCTCAATATCACTTACATAGTTTTCTTCATCTTCAAGAAAGTCACTGTCTTCCTCACTCCCTTCACTACCCCCTTCACTACCTCCTTCACCAAGTCCTTCACAAACTTCCTCACTTTCAAATTGAACTTCACCTAATCCTGTGCCAAGTTCTGCACCAACAGTTGCAGTGGGCACATCATCTGCATCAAAGAAAGGATCAAAGTCTTCAAATTGAAATGGTTGGCCATCAAAGGTATCAAACTCTCTTGTATTTACTTCTTGGTCACCAAGATTTGCAGCTTGATCATGAACTTCTGTCTCTTGATCACCAACAGGTGCACCTTGATCACTAATATTTGCACCTTCATTACCAATTTCAACACGTGCATCTTGATCACCAACAGTTGCACCTTGCTCACTAATATCTTGATCACCAACAGTTGCACCTTGCTCACTAATATCTTGATCACCAACAGTTGCACCTTGCTCACTAATATTTGCACCTTCATTACCAATTTCAACATCTGCATCTTGATCACCAACAGCTGCAGTGTGTTCCAAGTTGAAACACAATTTCTTACTACATGATTGACTCCCATCAACTAACCTCAATCTCTTATTTGAATTGTATTTGGGTGTCTCATATGTTACTAAACACAATTCAAGATTTGGGACATCTTGATCACCAACAGTTGCAGTGGGCACATCATCTGCTATTTCCTCAATTATGACCCTAGGTTTAACTCTTGGAGACATAAAGTATGTAAGTAACTTAGTTTCATTATGTTCAGTGTATACCTTGATGATCTTATGATGTTCAATGTACTGTGCAAGACTAAGTACATCAATATCATTCCCTAGAGCTCTAAGACCAAACTCCAAATCTCCATTTGGCAATTGATAGTGGTAATAAATGACTGGTGGTACATCATAACCAAGCTTCAGCATCACCTCATCCAACTCATGCACAGAGAACTCATCCATGTCTACCAAGTCAATGTGGTCTAATTTTCCTTCATTATAGCTTATCCCTGGAAATTTTGTGAACCTCCCTCCATGATGGAGCTCAATAGTGAACATCGTGGGATGTCCTTCTGTAAAAATCATGAACCAAACCAAAAAAACATTACTTTATATGGATTGTAAAAGATTTTTTTTTTGTTTCAAAGAAATATGTAAGAAACAGAGTACGTTACCGTAAATTCAGATTGCATCAAAACACTGATTTCTTGGCCTGATTTCCCACATTTGGACCATACTCGTGGATTCAAACTTACGATTGCGGTTGATGACCAAATGCAAGATTTCAATGAACGATTAGGGTTTTCGATCAACGAAGTGGGTTTAGTGCGTAGAGTGAAGGGTCATTAACTGTGTATATCATTCAATATGGCGGTAATCGATGATATGGAGGTGGAAAGACGAAAATACCCCCGTCTTTGTTGCATGTAACGGAGTATATGGACGGAAGTTAGTAGGAGGGACCAAAAGCAATGGAAAAATCCAATTTTGGACCAGTGCTGCATCAAAGTATCGTTTTGGACCAAAGTCGCATAATTTTGCCAAACACAGGGACCATTTTTGCAATTTTGTCGCTATTAAAAATCAGACTTTTCGACTCATTCACACTCCACAACAAGCACATACATCATTCTGTTATCCTTCTCTTTTAATTTCTTCATCTCGTAGTTTAGCGTTTAGGTTTTTTCGTTTTACTGTTCCAATTTTTATGTTCTTGTTCGGGTTGTAGTTAAATGGCGTCCCTGAAGGAAATTCTAACGCGTCGGCCAGTGGCGGCGACAGTCCGTCTCACCATCCCAGCCGGCGGAGCAAGACCTGGACCACCGGTAGGTCCGGCTGTAGGTCAGTACAAAGTTAACCTAATGGCGTTCTGCAAGGACTTCAACGCTCGCACACAGAAATACAAATCGGAAGCTCCAATCGCTGCTACTGTGACTGTTTTCAAAGACAATACTTTTGAATTGAGCGTTCGTTCTCCTTCAGTCACCTGGTTTCTAAAAAAAGCCGCCGGAATTGACTCCGGGAGTGGACGTGCAGGTCATGTTGTTGCATCAACCCTAACCCTAAAACACATCTATGAAATCGCAAAGGTGAAGCAAGCAGATCCGTATTGTCAGTACATGTCCTTGGAGGCGATTTCAAAATCAATTATAGGTACAGCTAAATCTATGGGGATTAAGGTTGAAAAGGAGTTGGATTGATGATGAATCTTGAAATCTTGATTAATGAATGTTAGATTTTTGTAGACTAGTGTACTTGAGATGATATCTGGATTTGAGTATTTGAAAATTGCTTTGAAAAACTGCATAAAATCTTCGTGTTTGAAGTTGTTTAAAGGTTTTCCTGTGTTGAAAGGTGAAACTTGAAGCCTGTGATTTCATATATCTTGCAATCTTTGTATAGTCTTTTGTTTTAACTTGTGGAAAAGTGATTATTGCAATCGACGTTTAAATTCTTGTGAAATTTTTGTATGTTGAAACATCTGCAAATGTGATGGTTTAACAGAAAACCAGTATCTCTGTTGCTTAGGTTTTGTTGAAATGGATATGATAGATTTAATTAGTTGGTTGATTGTACAATTAGTAAATGCTTAATAGGAAAATGAAATGACTTAGATGGGTAAAAATCTTTTCCAAATGGTCAAAAAACATCATTAAACTTATTTTTTTTCTTGTTATATCATATAACTTCGAATATTCCTCCGGCAATCCTTCGTTCCCTGCATATCCTTCATAGTCGTCTTACGAAGTTGAATTTTTACCCTAAATCATTATGATTTGGTAGCAAATTGAGTTCAATTCACAATCAATCCAACCCTGTTTGCTATCAGAATCAATCGCAATCGATGAATTACGCCTTGATCCGCTATTTATTTGCCGATTTCTTGCTCTTTTTGCTGTTGTTTGGATCGATTGACAGCGTTCAAAACTTGGAAATCTCGAAAGTCAATCAAGCACCGGCTAGGCGGTCTCTGTTATCTTTTCCGGAGTAAGTTTTCTCCTTTTTTACTCGTTAATTTGAGGTTGTTGATGAACAGTTTCTTCTCATGCATGTACACATGGCTGCCTGCTGCCATTCTGTTTTCCCTCTTTATCAAGGTGAAGATCTGTATATCGATCCATGCTGCTGCCATGTAGTTTGGGTTCTGTAAATTTTGCTCTTTCGGTTGAACTGAAGTATTACCATGAATTTTGTTCTCAACTTCAGCTTGGCTCGATTTTGGTCCCATATTACTTATTATAACTCCAATTTCCCCTTATTTGTTGGAATGGGCAATTCTATGCAATTCACAATGGTTCCTTTGCAATAAACTTGTAACTATGAATGTTATAATTGCTTACTCTCACATACTCTACACAGGGTTTGCTCTTCATTCTAACAAGTGCAAAGGCTTTTTTAATTAAGGTTCAGGATTTTACCACAATTAACCAAGATAAACATGATCTTACATAAGCAGAGTGCTGCACTCAACATAATTTTGCAAATTTATGATATTAGGGTACTTTTTTTGTAGTATCATTTGAAGTAATTCTCTTTCATGCACTTACATACCTCTCTCTCCAAACAGTAATCATGACACTGCCCTTGTTGCTGCATTGGATGGTACAATCAATTTGGTGTATCGTGATTCTGGGAGGATAATTTGGTCATTTGCATCAGGATCTCCAATCTACTCTTCATACCAGGCTTCTACCAGCCATGATGATGATAAGGAAAGTGCACCTGTGCCTGAAGGCAGTTATTATGTAGACTGTGGGGATGATTGGAAGCTGTATGCACACACAGATCTTGGCAAAGTGGTAAATTTCTGAAACTTTACTCTTGCTACCAATATCAACAATGTACTTTATTATTCAATTTCAACTACCTATTTGTAACTTACAGAGTATGGATATGACCATGGAGGAATTCATCAGAATCATGCCACACGTATCAGAGGATGGAGGAGTTATTCTTGGATCCAAAAAAACTACTGCATTTGTAGTTGATGCTAACACTGGAAGGTTAATACGTGTTCATCACAGCTCATCAACCAATGAACACTCAAATTTCATCTTCCAAAAAACCACCATGAAAAATGAAAAGTCAACTATGGTCAATGAAAAACCTGATAAACAATTCTCCTTCACAAGAACAGATTACTTACTCACATCATTTGCTGCAAATTCTGACAAAGTTCTATGGAATGTGACTGTAGCAGACATTGATGTTGCTTTACTTTGTCAAGAACCTCCAAATAAAATCATTCGTCCGTCTTTACCTCTCCCAAATAATCTTCGCTCAAAATCCAGTGTTGACTTTGACTTTGACTTTGACTTTGACTTCAACATGCCCTTGTCATGCCAGTCAAAAGCTGTTGTCCATAGGCTACGTACATCTCATAAGCTTGGTTCTTATAAAATCCATGGAAAACAAGCAGAAAAAAAAGTTCCAATCCTTCTACTCCCTCAAAATAAACCTTTACTACCCAATTCAAACAATAACCTTGACACCCAAAACCCCGAAATCCCTAGTCAACAAGATGTGAAAAAAGTCAACTTTCTTTCCGAAGGGCGAATGGCGTTTGTTGTAATTTTCATTCTGATTATTGCCATTGGTGGTCTTATGTATCGCCATCATACCATAATGGCTGCAATGTTGAAACAAAAACCTTCCTCTTCTTCTAGAAGGAAGAGGCATAGGAAACAAGGAAGGATTTATGCCAATGAAGATGGAAATGTTGATAGTGAAAGAAATCCAGTGCTAAATTTTAATCATTTAATCGAATGTGACACAGAAGGGCGTTCTATAGGCAAACTATTTGTGTCAAATAAAGAAATTGCAAAGGGTAGTAATGGAACAGTTGTTCTTGAAGGGGTATACGAAGGTCGTAAGGTTGCTGTGAAACGCCTCGTGAGGGCCCACCATGATGTTGCATTTAAAGAAATTCAAAATCTTATTGCTTCTGATCAACATCCAAATATTGTTAGGTGGTATGGAGTGGAATATGATCATGATTTTGTTTATCTTTCTTTGGAGCGTTGTGCTTGTAGCCTTTATGATTTAATTCAAATGAAGAAAGGGGGTTTAGAATTAGATTCAATCAATCGTGACATCATCATGCATGATGTTCATTTATGGAAACCAAATGGATACCCTTCGCCTATTTTGTTAAAATTGATGAGGTACATGTACATCCAACCATTTATAACAACAACATTGTACTTTATTTACATGTGTTACTTTATTTATATCTTTACTTTGATGTTTATTATTATTATAGGGATATAGTATCTGGGCTTGTTCATTTGCATGAATTAGGGATCATTCATCGGGATTTAAAGCCACACAATGTGTTAATAGTCAAAGAAAAATCAATATGTGGGAAGCTTTCTGACATGGGAATTAGCAGACGCCTCGTTGGCGACATGTTGTCATTAGGACTCCATGCTACTGGTAAGAAGATAAAACCAACTTAATTACAAAAACCGGGCTGTTTTTGACACGTTGTAAATTGTTACGGGTTATTTTCGTCAGGTTCCGGAAGTTCAGGGTGGCAAGCACCCGAACAACTTCTTCATGGACGCCAAACACGTGCGATAGATTTGTTCAGTTTAGGTTGTGTCCTGTTTTTCTGCATGACATGTGGCAGACACCCATTTGGTGATCATCTTGAACGTGATGTGAATGTGGTCAAAAACCGAGTCAACCTTTTTTTAGTTCGACATATTCCGGAAGCTTTTGACCTCTTCTCTAGATTACTAAACCCTAACCCTGAACTCAGGTAAAGTTATAAAATTACAATTTCAGTCCTCTGACGTTTTAAATTAATAAAGAATTTGCATTGTAGGCCAAGGGCTGTGGATGTGTTGCATCATCCTTTGTTTTGGGATTCCGAGGTGAGAATGTCGTTTCTAAGGGATACTAGTGATCGGGTGGAATTGGAAGACCGGGAATGTGATTCCGTTCTTCTTAGGGAATTGGAAAGTAAAGGTTCGGTGGCTTTGGGTGGAAAATGGGATGAAAAGATGGAACCGGAATTCATCAATAACATTGGTCGGTATAGGCGGTATAAATAC